AATCAATAATCATTACCATAATCATCAATCAACATAATATTCAATAACAATTAGCGGCCTAGCTTCGAGTGTTAACACCCTAACTTACCGTCATTCATCACATAACATTTTATTTGTTAAAAATATTACTTTTAATGTGAAAAATCATTTTTATAATGATCAAAATCAATTGGTATCAAAAATAGGATTTTAGGGCTCAAATTTTCAAACAAATTTTCACACAAATTTTCGGATCAGAAATTCGGGGGATCGATCCAGCCCTCTGGATCAATCCATACTATGAAAAATCACTCCCAGGGGATCGATCCAAGCCCCAGGATCGATCCAGACAGTGGTGTTTCAGCCATTGTTCATCTTCTTCTTCGTTCGGGTCCAATTTCGGAAATATCGTTTTTAGTTATCGAACTTCAACGAAACTATATAGAGATGTTCTCCAAGGTTCATAGATCATTTTGGCATCATTAATTCATAGTTTTAACATCAATTTCATGGTTTATGATTCTTGGTTCTTCAAGCACGTCAAACACAAAACTCAATCAAACGACCGTTTATGAACGTAGAAACGATCTATACGAACATCCTAGTGACTAGATATACCTACGGGCTTACCTCGAAGGTAAATAAAGGTTTTGAATATTTTCCGGCAAAACTTCCGGCGACGATAGCTCTCAACTCCGGCGACCTCACACCAATACGACAGCACCACCACGTTCTCCTCACTCCGAGCAACAGAATAGAATGAAACTTTGTAAGAAATGGTGAAGAATGGAGGGAGTTGTGGTAGTCTTTTATAGGAGAAGGAAGAGGAAGAAGACACAGTGATGACTCCATTCTCCTGTTTTGGCATCTCAGTGGAGCGGACGGCCTATCTCTACAATTCCAAACGCAAGTCCCTGATTGAGACTAATTTGGTCCCAGTCAGGGAACACTTTTTGGTCCAACTTTCTCCGAATTGAAATCCGTTTGCACCGTTGTGATCGTACATTTAAACTCTATCCAACGATATAATTTTTATATTTATTTGTAATACTTTTTCCGACATCATATTTTTGGGTGGTTGACTTTGACAGAGTCAAAATTTATTTAATTGACCTTTACTCAAAGAGGTTCTTACATTTTATTCATATTATTTACTCTCATGATTTATTTCAATAAATCATTTCAAAGTTCATATCATAAACAAATTTCTTAATTTATCCTTGATTTGGGTCTGTACTCAGGTTCCCAAGTAAGGTCACATAATAAGTCAACATATTGGATTTATCTTTATGAGACTTATCAAGATTTTGATATTGGATATTAAAACATATTTAATTTCGGCCCAAAGTCCAATAAAAATTATTATTATTATTATTAATCAAAACAATTTGATTACTTGAATAATTATTCATTAATAATTCTAGGGTATATTTTGGGGCGTTACATTTCTCCCCCCCTTAAAAGGAATTTCATCCTCGAAATTCTTCTAAGGCCAAATATTCAACATTTCGTAGTGATCTTACTTAATCATGACCGTGTCATGTTCACTTGGTTTTACGTCACTATCCACATGGATATGTAATCCCAACTGTCGGTGTTATTAAACTCATTCGTTCTTCAAAAGGTTTACAATCTTGGATTAAGCAAGGTATCCAATGATCCTTTTTGCAGGTTCCCGTTCAGATTTTAACATTCATAACCAAGTTCCTTTGCAGGGTATAACATTGTATTTTGGAGCATATCTGACATATTTGCACCTCAATTCGTTCATTCACAAACTCGATTAGTCAACAACATTCTTTCTTTGATTGAATGTCCTTCAGTAGCATTTGTAGTTTCAAGTTCGCGATAGTTGTAGTGGAAGATTTGGAGGTTGTTTAATTCATGTGTCATACCGTAATCTTCTAAGTCATCAAAACATCTTCACATCGTTCACAGTTCGGCAATGACTTGTAAGTAACATCTAATGGCTTTTATTGGTTCAGGATTCTCAGAATATGGGATTTGTCATCATTTATGAGGAGGTACTGTCGATCAGTTGTATAGTAGTTTGTCATTTATCGACCTTATGCCGAAACATTTCTTCGTTCACTTCATGGTAGATCTCATTATCGTTAATGAGTCTTTGCATTAATTCGTATTCACAGGTGATAACGTTAGAGTGGCGTTTCGTATACGTCTTGTCGTATTCAACTTTCTTCATTGATCAAGATACGTTCATGATAGCGACAAATTCGATTGTAATACTATAGTTGCTCTCGTTTTGAGGGAAGAAGAGAACATATTCAGTATGTGATTAAATTTACGAATTCAAAGAGTAAGGAATCATACGGGTCCTTACACCAACATCACATGTAAATTCGGGATTTTTGCTTGAATGATTCAGCTTGATCATTCTGACGTCATTTCCTCTTTGGATGTCGCACAAACATTCCCTTTCTAGGGTCATGATGGAGTTTGTTTGGTCAATGAGATCATCGGTAATATTCTTCATAGATAACGCAATCCCATCTACCAGTTTGTAGTTCACAGAGTGAGGTTTAAGATAATGTTCAAGTCAGGGTAGTTTTACTACTGTGATCGAGTCACATAGTTCACAACCTATAGTTTTCGAAGATCGGTATCATAAAGAATTTCTGGGATTTAATGAAGAACCATTAGTTGAGACAAGTTTTCAATAATTTAATACAAACAATGGAATTCGATCTTTTCAAGATTGATCAAGTGAGATGTTTCGATGATGTAGTTAACACAGCAAGTTTGAGTCATTCAAGGATGTGAGTCACAAGATACAAAGATGGTATTTATGAATTATCGTCATCAATCGTAGGTCTTCAATCTTCAATGCTTCACTCTTTGGAAGTTACTCAAGGGTCATTTTCTTAGGGAAATAGTCATTTTGACTTTTCGTCTCGGATTTGAATGTATGAGCCTAACTATTCATGAGTCTCAATATGTCATGTCGTCAGCAGATTGTAGTATTGGTGAGTGCATTCTTGTCAGGAGCGAATCCACTTTCCTGTACGTTTTTTTTAGGCTGGTGATAATTACTTTTCCATCAATGGTCAGGTTTTAGAGACTATATATATCACGATTATGGGAAGAGTATCTCACATTCTCACATTATGGAAGGAACTTCTCGAGCTCGTTCTTATACCATAAGATTCGTTTGTCTACTTGGTAGTCATTCTCTTGGTAGAATACCAAAGTTTATGACTACTGCGGTAGATTTTGGAAGAGAATTGATAAGGCGAAGAATTAGTCTTGCTTATGGAGGAGGCAATGTTGGCCTACAAGGAGCTGTTGCTTCAAGAGTATTTACCAATGGTGGTCTCATTAGAGGTTTCATTCCTGGGTATATAGCAACACGACGGGTCTACGGACCTACATACGGCGTAGAGCACACACTTTCCAGCAATTACTACAAATATTTTGAGATGAATCATGCTATGGAAGCTTTCATCGTTCTTCCCGGAGGAGTTGACACTATGGAAAGTTTGTTCACCTTGATCTCGTGGGCTTCTGAAGGGTTACACAATAGACCCATTGGTCTCTTGAACATTGACGGTTATTCAATAACCTAATCAAATTTCTAGACGATGCAGTGAGGCAGAACTTCATGTCTTTGAGTCAGAGGAAACTTTTCATTTCTTCTTTCTTTGTTGGTGAGCTTTTAGACAAGTTAGAGTTTGCTATAGCTTTCCCGGGACCAGGGGTTAGTTACAATGAGTTTGTGAATCCTGGAAGACTAGACTTAGAATTGCATTTGTAACATTCCTCTTGTAATTCAAGTTGTATTTTGTGTTGCAATGATATTATCCATAAATATTCTCCTAGGTTGTATGGCTAGTGCGAGCTATATTTTCTTCATTCTTCAGTCTTTCACTATTGGTGTCACTGTCTTGTTTTGTATCGTCACCATGTCGCAATCTTTCAGGTGAGTAGGGTATACGAACGAGTCAATTATCTTAATGATTTGTCTTGTGAGCATCACTTTACTTCATTTTGTCAATTCAGACTACATTGACGTTTTTACGATAAACAACTAAATCATTAGTCGTTTCATAGCAAGGCATCAGTTCATTCAACAAGGTCGAGATGTCCGTAGCTTTTAACAAACAGGTTCTTCCAAAAAAAAATTGTATATACGTAGTAAAGGGTAGCGCTTCTTGATCATCAGTTTGTTCATCATTCTTAACAGGGATGTGATAGTATCTTGACCGTAAGTCAATCTTAGAGAATACAATGGATCCTCTAAGCTGATCAAATAAGTCATGATACGAAGTAAAGGATAACGAATCGTTCAACTGATAGTACTTGATATAGAGTCTCATTGATTCTTCTGTATTCGCGTATGAACAAAATAGGTATTCAAGGAGAAAAAACTTGATCAAATGATTCCTTATCAAGCAATCCTTAAGTTTTAAATTTCAATGGAAAGATATTCAATGTGGAGTGTACATAGATATAAGACAGCGTAAGCCTAAGATCAATACATGCATAATTGTATTGAATTATTGAATAAGGAAATATTTTAATGATGAAACCAGAGTTTTCTTCATCGCGGTCTTTCACTGCATACGCATGTGCATGATTTTATTTGTGGATTATTTCCTGCTGGTGCAAGCTGGGCTAAGGTAGACTGTCTTTGAACAGGGCCATCGGCATTGGTTTTCCAAGGGTTTGTAGGACATTCCTTTCGAAAATGCCCAGATTTACCACAACCTATACATAATCCTTGTGTCATCCAACGTTCTCCTGGGTGATGTCTTCTACAAGTGTTACACTTTGGATGTTTCCACACTCTCAATTTGTGTTGAGTTAACAAAGGTTTTCTTCTTTTCGAGGGTGGGACACTTCAAGTTCCAATCAAAGGCTTCTTTCAATTTTGGGTATCGCACGAATAGGCTTCACACTTGAGATGTTTTCGCATATATATTCGAGATGAACTTGGTCGGTTTAGAAATCAGCTTTGCTTTCACCTCTATAAGGTTACCATCATTGGTCTTTAGTTGAGGAATTCTTCATCACAAGTTGACAACAGCAACGACATTTAGTTAGTTAATGCATACTAAGGATAATGTCGATTTCCTTGTATGGTAATTCAACGATGTTTTACAAAGAATTGTCGCTTAACAAACGATTTCGATTCACA